AAAGAGTGTAGATAACTGAATGAGAGAAAGAAAAAAACTGTAGCAACTCCAGTAAAAGTACTTTAAGAATTGGCCTTCCCTGATAACAAAAAAGTACAATTATTTTGATATTCAGGTTTTACTGTAATGCTGTTACTCTAATAAGTAGAAACATATATTGTTCTTTTATTTTCAAGTTAAGCTGCTACACCACTTAAGTGGAATTGAGATGGCATGACTGTGAATGTTAAGCTATTACAACACTTATTATAATTATAGTACTCATTTTAATGTTTTAGTTTTACTACTGCAATGCTGCACTAAGTTGAATTCATCTATTTATAAAGACATCTTTTAGTTTGTTTACTTTGTTATTTTGTTAAAATAAAAAAAAAAGCATTAAGCAACAGCTTGAATGCAGGCATTTTTTTTCTTAATGCACTACAGAGCTATTCAGTTGTGAAGCATTTTAATAAATGTAATGTACTTGAATTTTGCACTGTGCGACAGTATTATTTAGGAAAATACAAGTATTGGTTCAAGACTCGCTATTGGAAGATGGTCGGTATTAGAAGACTTGGATCGAGATCGGGGGCAGAAAAACTTGATCGGGACATCCCTTATTTTAACTAGCTCAGTTTGTTGAAGTTAGGTAAATGATTCCAGCCCCTTTGCAGTAGTTACAATCATCTCAAGATCTGGAATGACAGCAGGTTTGTAGAGTTTAACTGTGCTTTTTGAAAATTTTGCCTTCAATTTTAGTATTGAAAAAAATTATAAAATCATTGCTGCTGGAGGCTGATGGCATCTGGGGTTCAGTGCCTGTTTAGTTTTTAGTCAATTTAGAAATTGTGCTAAATAATAATCTAGGATTATTCTTATTATTTTCAATGAGAGAGGAAAGATCTAGGAGTCTATAAGGCTCTCCCTCCAGGCGGACTGGAATACTTCTAGTTTACTCAGGGGCCGTTTTCGTTCTAGTTGTCTGAGAACATCTGTTTTAAAGCTTGAGTATGATCATTGTACCTCCGCCCAATGACAGCTGGGATAGGCTCCAGCACCCCACCGCGACCCAGAAGGATAAGCGGTTTAGAAGATGGATGGATGGATGGATGATCATTGTACCATTGGGCAAGCTTTTTTTCTTTTTAATGGAGCCACATTATCTAGAATAGAATGAAAAGTATCCTCTAAGCACTGATCATAATGTCTAATTCGGTAAGATTAGATGGACAGCTAATAATTGTAGGAGGTTTCTGATAAAGCTACCAGCTGTGAAGGAAGTTATAGTCCGCTTAACACAATTGAATGGTGATAAACGTATATTACGACTAAAGCGAATTTCCTATGAGAGTACGTAATGATCTGAGACTGCTGTGCTTTGGGGCAGAATGGCTAAATGATCTATGTTTAACACCAAAGATCAAAATTAAGTCAAGAGTGTAGCTGCAATAATGAGTAGGCCCCTTTATATTTTGAGTGAAACCTACCGAGTCTACGATAGATATAAATGCTTTACTTAGTGGATCTTGTGGTTTATCAAAGTGGATCTCTGAAAGTTATTATTTTGTTTGAAAGCGTTATTACACTTGATCTGAAAATTCCAGTAAGAATGAGAATATGACCCTTGCAGTCTATAGATTGTAATTAGTGAAAAGGAATTCTTATTTGTTCCTCGATCACTGATATTAAGAAAAAGATTTTCAAAAGAAGAGAATTCGTAGCCTACTTTCTGGTTCACGCCTAAAGCTTTTGTATAATGGTTGCTATACCTTCACCCCGGCCGTGGGCTATGTGCATAATTGTAGCCTGTGGGGGTGGCTTCATTTAGAGCAAAGTATTTATCAGGTCTAATCCACGTTTCTGTGAGGCAAATCAAAATCATGATCAGTAATAATTTCATTTACAACAGCGGCCTTAAATGTAAGAGATCTTATGTTAAGCAGCCCTAGCTTTAGACCAAAGGTGCTGTCACTGAAAACTTACTACAAACCTGGCCTTGGCCCTGGTTTGTCAGTGACTGACTGTCCTATACTGACGGCTATCTGAGAAACTATGAGCTATGAGCGGGAGGAGGACGAGGACGATGGTGCCGGCCATGAGAGGCACGAGCGAGTCCCGAGGTCCGCCACCCGAGCCCCCCCCCCCGGTACGCAGTGAGGCCGCTTCACTACACCTCACGTTCGACCCAGGCAGCCGAGCTGCAAGCTAGGGGCGGTGACGGGGAGGCGGAGCAGTGAGCTCTCGTTCCCTCTTGGCACAGGTGCTCACGCTGCCCTTACTGAGAGCCAGCTGATGCTGATCTGGCTGGCAGCATGAGCGCCTTTTACAAGAGCTGAGAGGGACAAGCAGCAGCAGAGAACTGAAGAGCTGAAAAGCTTGAGTAAAAAGACTGAAAAGTCTAGTTAGTTGAAAGCCACTGGAAAGTGGCCAGCTTAGCAGAGCTTTGATTATTTGGTTTTGTTTGCTTTGTGTTTATTTGGGAAATAAAATATGGCTGCTGCAACACTGAACCCTGCCTCCAGCGTCCTCCTTGAGCGGGCTGTAGCACATGCCGTGCTACAGTTATCTTTAATTATTTCTGATTTCCACAGACAAACGTCATTAGTACCTACATGAATAATTATCCTCAAATATCTACAGCTAGCTTGCAGCTTCAGTTTCTGTCTAATGTCCGGTGCCCTGGCTCCTGGTATACAGCTAACTGCTACTGGCACCCCTAAAGAAGAAGGTATTTTCTTGTGCCATAAAATAGAATTACCTATAACCAGAGCTCTTTCAACAGGCAGCTCAGAGGGTGTCTCACTGAGTGAGGCGAACCTGTTGGACATGTGAATGGGAGATGAGTGGTGCTTGCGTAGGGTAGCTTTAGCTTTGCGACTATGCCGCCACCCATTTGCCCCACTGTGAGGGCTCTGCTGCCGGAGTCGTGCTCGCTCTCCATGAGGTACCCAGAGCTTCTAACATCGAGTCTGAACCCTGCTGACTATCCCTGCTCTTTTCTAACACCTCTAACTGTATAATCTTCTCTGTGAAGCACGAAACTAACTTACACTCACACAAACGAAGCTAGTATCGCTGTGTCATTAGTGACGGAGAGAGAAGCATAGCTAAACATACTGCACTCAGGGCAAAGCAACAGCTTGCGATCTGTCATACTGATACTTACCTTGTAAGTAAGTAATGTTAAATTCCACATTGAGTACAAAATTCCGACATGTAAAACTCTAAACGGTCTCATTCCTCTGTACCACAGTGAACTTATCTCTACCAGATAACCATCATGCTTACCTAGGTCACTAGGCGCCAAGTCACTGTTAGTACCTGAAATTAATAAAGTTACATTGCATTAGTGACCACTGCCCTATCGGATACATTATAAACACCAGCATAAAAGTCAGTCTCTAAAAGTCAGGCTCTCGGACGGTAATTAGAAAAAAAATTAAGCATTTTAATGTCCAATCATTTTTAAATGACCTGCGCTTGACTTAGCATTAGACCATTTTAGCAACACATTCTTGCCGGTGCTGAACATGCGTGTGCCTTATAAAAATGTTCAAGATCAAATTCCTGGTTCAACACTGAAATATCTTACTTGCTCAATGCAAGAAATAAAGCATAGGGCTTTGCATGAAGAAATGGAGACAGAGACCAATGGCTTACATTCAGACAGCTAAGGAATAAATGCACTTCCTACATTAGAAAAGCCAAAGTAGAATATTACTTTGTTATTTTCAAATTCAACTTCAGATTCATTCAGATTCTGGAAGCCTATTTCACCCCATATTCCAACCCATATCTTGCAGTCTGTTATACTGTTACAGTATACACCGTATGCTGTATGACATGATGGCTTTGTGTCAGAAGACACATTGGCTTCTTTTTATCCATAAAGCTTTTGCTGGCCATATGCCATTGTACATCACAAAAATACTCAGTGTATATAATGCAATTTTTCAGACTTGTTCCAGTGATTGGATTAGCCTTCAGGTGCCAAGAGTTTTAACTGAACAATACACTTTTAAGATTTTACAATCTCATGTTCCACTTCTCCTATTTCTGCAATCCCTGATTTCTGGATAGGTTCGGCTACATTGTAAATCATTTGCACCCCCTAATAAAGGTTGTTTGGTTGACATCAGTGGGTAGAGCCCTGTCATGCAAAGGCCCCAAGCTTTGGAGTAACCTTCCAGTCAGTTTCTGGGACTCAGACACAGACATGCTTTTTGAGTCTAGACCAAGAACCTACTTGTTTAGTTAAGCCCTTGTTAATTACTTTTTCCTTATATATGAAAGGTGCATATCGGAGTGTTCATGAACATAGAGTTTTATAGTAAAACTGAGAATGTTGGTGCTGTCATCCTGCTGTTCTCACACCCTCAAACAAGTTTGTTGACGGTGGAGCAGATGGGTGCTGATATCTCAGTGAGGACTTGTGTCTTGCAATGACTGGCTCTCCCTTTTTAGTTAATAGGTAGTCCTGCTGGAGTCACTGCTTGTACTCTGTTAATGAGTGCAAGCAGTGACTCCGTATATTGTTTTCAATCATCCCAAATAGAGCTGTCTGTGTGCTTTTTTTGCTGAGGTGAACAACTGCCGATTCTGTGCGGTCTGATGCTTTTGCTTCATCTTCCTTGATCAGATGCCTCTGCCTGCCCATTTTCTGTAGCATTTGAAAGAGCCCAACTGCATGCCTGTTATCCTTCTGATGATAATAGTGCATGCACAGACTATTCATGTTGTCTCATTTGTTTAGCTAAAGAAATTATGTGAATGTATCATAAATATAATACGTCATCCAACCCCACATTACCCTTGTAGCTCCAGTACAAAACTGAAGAAGCAACTTTCAGGCACCAAATTATGGTTAATTGACTGCATTTGGGCTAAAGGGGAAGTTTTGCGAATTTCATTGTGGTTATACCATTGCTTTGTCAAATTAAACCACATAACTACAAGCTTGAATAGCTGAATTATATTATAGTGTGACTGTGCTATGTTGTGGTTTGTGGATTGTTCAGTGCAGCGAAGGTGTTTTTGATGCGCTCTCTGGAGATGCGGCAGCGTGTGCTAGGCACAGATCACCCAGACTGTGCTCAGTCTCTGAACAACCTGGCCGCCCTGCACTGCGAGAGGAGAGATTACGAGAAAGCTGAGAAGCTGTATGAAAGAGCGCTGGACATCCGCAAACAAGCACTCGCTCCTGACCACCCCTCACTGGCCTACACCCTCAAACATCTTGCTATGCTCTACAAACGCAGGGTAAGACATAGTGATGCTCTGTTTTACCACAATATGATATTACAGCAGAAGTGTGCTGTGAGAAAGCATAAGCCACCTATCCTTTTTTTCATATGGCCAATAAGAGATCACTGGCCACTATGAATATTTGGTCAAAGATGATCTAACTAGTTATAGAATACAGCGGGAACATTTTCAATCCAAAGAACCTGGATTAAAACATGCAATTAAAGCAGCAAACATTACGGTCCAACCTCTTCTGTGCCAGTGGAGGGCCTTTTTAGAGAACATAAATGGTGGGCAGTCAGAATTTTGACAAAGGATGCCATTCGTTATGATGGTTGATGATGGATCTCCAAAGAAGATGCCTGCTACATAACATAACATTTTGCATACATGCCCCAACTGTAGATAACTTTGGACCTGAGCTCCAAACATAATCTTCTGATCTGAGGGCAAATGCTTTGCCAACAGGGTTACTGTCTGCGCAGTACCATTTGTGAGGAAATGCACACTCACCAAACACTTTTAGGAACACCTGTACACCTACTCATTCATGCAATTATATAATCTGCCAATTTTGTGGCAGCAGTGCAGTGCATAAAGTCAAGCAGATATGGGCCAGCAGTTTCAGGTAATGTTCACATCAACCATCAGAATGGGGAAAAATGTGATCTCAGTGATTTTAACTGTGGCATGATTTTTGGTGCCAAATGGGCTGGTTTCAGTATTTCTAAAACTACTGATCCCCTGGAATTTTCAGACTCAATAGTCTCTAGAGTTTACTCAGAATGGTCAATAGAGAAAAAACATCCAGTGAGCGGCAGTTGGATAGAAACACCTTGTTGACGAGAAAGGTCAACAGAGAATAGCTAGACTGGTTCAAGCTGACGGAAAGGCTACAATTAGGCAGATAACCATTCTGTATAATTGTGTACACGTCGAACCTTGAGGCAGATGGGTCACAACAGCAGACATCAGTTCCACTTCTGTCATCTGAGAACAGAGAGCTGAGGCTGCTCACCAAAACCAGACAATTGAAGGCTGGAAAAACATAGCCTAGTCTGATGAATCTCAATTTCTGCACAAAGATAGTACGGTCAGAATTTTGTGCCAATAGCATGAATACATGGACTCAACCTACTTGTGTCAGCAGTCTAGGCTGATAGAGGTGTAGCGAGTGTTTTCTGACACACTTTAGGTTTATTAATACTTATGTGTTATTGATTTTCTCTTCTGCACATTTTAATGCACAATTATGGAGTATTTGTTAAATTTAAGATATTGGGGGGAAATAAACATAAAATATACTTAGCAAATGAAAATAAACTGTGCACTTCTGTAGAAAAATGCCATATATAAGTTTGTTCCTTGTGGCAATGTGTTAACTTATTTTCAATTAATAAAACGTTATTTGATTGGTCAGTGTTTAAACCTTTGACGGTTTGAACTGTGTTTGAACTATGTGTTAAACTGGATGTCATTTGGAACTTTTTAAAATCTATTTTAGTCATAGCAAGAGATAATAATTTTTTCATAACTGACACAAGATTTAGCATTGTAGTTTCCACTTGAGACCAAATGTAGCATACTCCCTGAAAGTGGCTGAGAAACAGTTATGTTATAGTTGTGTTGTAGCTCCCTCTATTGGTGGATTTGTGAAACCTAGATTACCTGATATCTTTTTTTCTTGTTTGTATATCACTCAGCGTCAGAAATATTAAGTAGTACAGTCTTAAGTAGTGCAGTACTTGTCTTGTGACACTGCATGTTTCTGTTGTTTCAGTGCAGTATAACCAGGCCCTTATGTGTGTGCTTGGGTTTGTGTGTTTACTGTTTTGTTCTCCTTATATATAGTATTTTGTTTGTGTGTTTTGTAGGGGAAGCTGGAGAAGGCAGTACCTCTATATGAGCTGGCTCTAGAGATCAGAGAGAAGAGCTTTGGGCCCAAACACCCCAGTGTGGCTACAGCGCTGGTTAACCTAGCTGTGCTGTACTGCCAGCTGGTAAGACAAGAAACCACATCAGGCACCATTTCTCTGTTCACACTCATGAAAAAGAAAGATTCTAAATTCAGTTTATTAGTTTTTATTTGAAATAACAAGCACAATCACTGTGATAACATAAAGACTTGAAAATGGGACAAAAAATTAACATTTAAAAATTTGCCAGGAAATCATACAATGAGGAGGTAAGAGAAGCAAAGAGGAGCCCAAAGTTGATAGTTTCCAAACTGCACAGTTCAGTATAAGGTTAGGGTTTTGAAATTTCAAAAGTAGAAACCTTTTGCAACAGTCCCACAAAAGTCTCTGAATCCACAAAATGAAGGAGCATAGAAAAAAACTTTTGCAAAATGTTATTGGAATTACAAATGCAATTGTGTAAGGTGGTCACATGAGACAAAAACTGTAGTTTTTGGTCATGCACACAATCACGGCTGACAAAAATAAAAACTGTAACCAGTGAAAAGCACCTGATACCCACCATCAAATATGGTGCCGGATCATTGATGCATTTGGGGATGTTTTGCTACTAATGGTCTTAGGGGCTTTTGTTAAAATTCGTAGCATAATAAGTCCAACAATGAATTCCATTTAATACCAGGTTTTAGCCTAAAATCTGTCTCTGCCAGAATGCTGGAACTTCTGGCAAGTACCCTTGGCCATCAGGAAGATAGTGACCCAAAACAGAAAGGCCCTCACGGTCTCCAGATTTGAACCTAACTCAAAACCTGTGGTGTGTATTAAAGAGGGCAGTGCAAGTGAAGACTCAAGAATATTAAGAAACTGGAAATGTTCTGCATAGAGGAGATCCCTCAACAAGTGTTCTCCAACCTTGTTAAGTTTTACAGAAAGTGGCTCAGTGCTGCTGTTCTTGCCAGGAGACACTAAATATTAATGATCGGGTTTTTTTGAAAAAAAAAAGTTACTAAAGAAATCTTTTTTATTCCAAAACACAGGATAAAAATAAAAATATGCATCTTACCCATTTGTTTAAGCCCAAAAAAATTTGTAAAATTGCAAAATGTGTAGTTTGTTTAGCTCATTTTCATGAAGTATGCCAATAATTCTGATGGTCTGGATTTCAAATGTTTAAATTTAGCAGCTGCCCAGTGGCTTCTGGTATCAAGTTATCAGGTTTTTTCTAAGTACAAGGAAACACATTGAAATGATTGTTTGTGGTAACTAGTAGAGATGAAGCAGATTAGGTTGAGATACACTGAAATTAACATTTTAATGTTAACCTGGTGTCTGTGTGTTCATATTTGTTTTGTATTACTGTGTATTGCAGAAGAAGCACAGTGAGGCTTTACCATTATATGAGCGGGCTCTCAAAGTATATGAAGACAGCCTTGGCCGACAGCACCCTCGAGTAGGAGAGACACTCAAAAATCTGGCAGTACTCAGGTTTGCCTCATCTCGTTTGATCTAATTACCTTCAGTAGCAGAGACCCTTAAGGAGAACTTAATGAGTTGCCAAATCTAGTTTTCTCTCTCTCTGTCTTCCCTCTCTTCATGTGCTTCTCCTGAAGTTATGAGGAAGGGGATTTTGAGAAGGCTGCTGAGCTGTACAAACGAGCCATGGAAATAAAGGAGGCAGAGCCATCTCTGGTTTGTGGGAAAGCCCTCTCCCGGCACTCTTCCAGCAGTGACACCTTTAGCCTACGAGGCCCCGCCCTCCTACCTCACACCTCTAGGTGATCTCTGGTACATAAAACTGCTTCGTACAGCCCAGGTGACCACTGACTTGCAGTGATCAAGAAGTACCAACCTTGGTATGTTCATTAAGCTGCATGAAATTACGCATGGGATGAACTTTGAACAAAGTTTCCATTTAATGACCACTTGGCGCGCCATCTACTTTATAGGCCCTTGTAGCTTATATAAAAAGTAGCCCATCTGTTGTCATGCACAATTTATTAGTCACCCTCTACATCATTTATCATTTGTCAGTTTCTGACTAGAGCTTTACTCCAAACCTGAATACAGCCTGGGAGTCCAAACCTGAAATGAGCCTAAGAAAATATGAAAGGAGGAAGGATGAACAAAGTAAGGAGAAAAACTAAAGTATGGGCTGTGAAAACCCAAATGTGAAATTTAAACCCAAGAGACATGTTAAAAATGACATCTGTACCTTTCCAACTCGATGTGAGTAATTGGGTTGTGTCGGATTTAAACAAATATTTTAAGCTCTTTTTCTGACCACAGATCCAATGCAGATCAGGTAGTATTTGGGTGGTTAACTATTTTGAGCGCAGCCTTGACAAAAACATGGTAGTGTGGTGCTTAGACATGGGCTGGTATTCTATGGAGTTACTTTTGTGCCAGAAGTTTCAAACAAAATAATAAAATCGATGAGCAAAATATTCAAATGTTGACATTTTTTCAAATAGATTCCTACTCATTTTCTCTCATTCTGATATAAATTTATTACTAATTTTGCCCTTTTTTGCTGTCATTTTTTTCTATTTGATGATTTTGCAGATATATTTTTGTTTCTGAAATTTTTCTTTTGCTTCTGACTTTTGGCACTTTTTACCAGGGGGCAGGTCTTAAAAGAGGGCGTTCATGTGCACTTTCTATTGGTCTACTGATTCTGAACATGCCCCCAGCTTGGCGGAACACACCGTACTGAGTTCTTGTGTTGGTCCAGTGTTGTACTAATTTCTGACGTTAGGAGCAATGTGGGTCATTAAATTATTAATGTAATATATTTGTGGGTCCTGAATAAAAGGATATCTGTTATGTCTGGCACTGATGAACATAAACTTAGTTGTTTACGAATGAACAAAGCTGAACCACCTTTCATAGGAATCTGTGGTATTTTGTGCTTTGTTTTTGCCAGTGCTACTTTATTTCTCTGGACTCACAGCACCACAGATTCTGCAATTTCCTGACCTGCTCATTAATCAGCTGATGAGTTGGATCAGGTGTTACAAGGCAAGGAAGCAGGGTTACTGATTTAAACAGCTGCAAAGCTCACCTAGTTAGCCCTTTAGCGGATACTACAAAGCTGGAAAGATGATACAGCTTTATTCAACAGCCAAGTTTACCTAAAATATAAATATATACGTGTGTGTGTACGTATGTGTGTGTGTACGTATGTGTGTGTGTGTATATATATATATATATATATATATATATATACACACACACACACACACACACACACACACACACACACACACACTTACGCATTACACCTACAGGAGCTTTTATGACATCCCATTCTAAATCTATAGGCATTACTATGGAGCTTCACTTCATTTGACGCTTGGCATTGTGCTTGGTGATGTAAGGCTTGCATGCAGCTGCTCGGCCATGAAAACCCCAGTTTTTGTACTGATGTTATGCCAGAGGAGGTTTGAAACTCTGCCATTATTTAGTCAATAGATCGTTGGGGACTTTTATGCATTATGTGTTGAGCACTTACTAACCCTGCTTTGTAATTTTACGTGGTCTGCCACTTCTTTGCTGAGTTGCTGTGGTTCCTAAATGCTTCCACTTTTCAATAATACCACTCAGTTGGAATATGTGTAAAAAAGTTATTATTTACAATAATCGACATAAACAAGTATTCCACCAAGAAATGTACTTCCTTTAGAATGTGGACTGCCACATGGACTGCTGAATGAGGAGAAGAATGTTTGGTAGTTCATTGCTGTATAATGCAGTCAGCTTTTTAACTTGTGTCATATAACAATGAACATATGATAACAAAGCACTTTTTAATGCAAAAACTTTCGCTTTATAAGTTACCAAATTATCACTGCAAGTCTTATTTAGCACCAAGCCAGCGGTGCCTCTCTTCTCGTGCTGGGGCTGAATCTTAAATGGCTCTCTGCTTTCTACATAGTGCACTACATAAGAATTTGAATACTGGATCCTGCACCCCAGCAGTGCAAAGTACAGCTAAGTAATAGTCATTTGGGACTCAGCCACATCCTAACTTGACAAATGATGCACTGTTTGGCTGTAGAGGCTAGAATTTCCGAACTTTTATAGCTAGCATACTATTTTGGGAGTATGGAGCCGTTTGGGATTCAGCCTGGGTTTGACACAACTTCTGTCTGAAATGTGAACATTTGAAGCATGTAATCCATTTAAGTTATGTTTTTTGACTTTCATATTGACATTTTACAGTTAATTATATCGTAAGTACCTTAACTCAAGCCTGTGATATTAATGTGTAGTTTAGGCTCTTAGCTATCTTTTAGCCTCTTAGCTAGCTGACCAGATGTTCTAGTTAATAAAATCGCCAGCCCTCAATTTAAACAAAAACGTGTTCTTACTTCATCAATACACCGATCAGGCATAACATTATGACCACCTCCTTGTTTCTATGCTCTTTGTCCATTTTATCAGTAGTTGTACAATAACAGACTGTCGTCCATCTGTTTCTCTGCATACTTTGTTAGCCCCCTTTTAGCCTGTTCTTCAGTGGTCAGGACCGCCATGGACCCTCACAGAGCAGGTACTATTTGGGTGGTGGATCATTCTCAGCACTGCAGTAACACTGACGTGGTGGTGGTGTGTTAGTGTGTGTTGTGCCGGTACGAGTGGAACAGCAGTGCTGCTGGAGTTTTTAAACACTGTGTCCACTCACTGTCCACTCTATTAGACACTTTTACCTTATCAGTCCACCTTGTAGATGTAAAGTCAGAGATGATAGCTCATTTGCTGCTGCACAGTTTGTGTTGGTCATCCTCTAGTCCTTCATCAGTGGTCACAGGACGCTACCCACAGGACGCTGTTGGTTGGATATTTTTGGTTGGTGGACTATTCTCAGTCCAGCAGTGACATTGAGGTGTTTAAAACCTCCAGCAGCTGTGGAGGTGCTGTGTCTGATCCACTCATACCAGCACAACACACACTAACACACCACCACCACATCAGTGTTACTGCAGTGCTGAGAATGATCCACCACCCAAATAGTACCTGCTCTGTGAGGGTCCATGGGGGTCCTGAGCACCGAAGAACAGGGTAAAAGGGGGCTAACAAAGTATGCAGAGAAACAGATGGACTACAGTCTGTAATTGTAGAACTACAAAGCGCTCTTATATAGTAAGTGGAGCTGATAAAATGGACAATGAGCGTAGAAACAAGGAGGTGGTCATAAGGTTATTCCTGATCGGTGTATACTCGGTGGTCCATGCGAGCAGTGTAAGAGTCAAAGATTATTCCATTGACAGCACAAGGTTTTTTTCCGTGGCATGGTAATACACAGTTCAGTTGCTGTGAAGCGTTCAAAGGTGTGCGTATATTGTGGATTTTACAACAGCTTCCAATGCGGCTCAGCCAATCAGATTTTAGGACCAGAACTGTCCATTTATATATATATATATATATATATATATATATATATATATATACACACACACACACATATATATGTATTACACAGCTTGACCCAGGACATTGATAAATATGACAAACATTGCTCATAAGGGTGGACATGTCAACGCAGTCATCTCTGGCAGTACTATGCTCAGTACAAATCACTCCTACCATGTTTGAAGCAGATCACGGCTCATGGAGTGGGCATGGTTACATGTTTAGAAGACCCGTCACTCCAAATTAGTTGACAAATAGAGAGTGCAGGTGAATGACCTCCTCTAAAAAGCAGCCCATGTTAAAAAGTGTCAAAAGTCAGAAGCAAAAAGAAAAATTTCAGAAGCAAAAGAGCAATTACAGATGCAAAAAATATAATAGCAAAATCAACAAATTGAAAAAAAACACAAAAATGGGCAAAATAAGTAATACATTTATATCAGAATGAGAGAAAATGATAATGAGATGAGAATAATCTTTTTGAAAATGTTTTGGAAAAAAGTTTGATTTAACTCTCATTTTTTGTATTTGCAACATATTTTGGACATTTTAATACTTAATGATTTTTATTATTTTATTTGAAACTTTTGGCACAAAATTAGCTCCACAGTGTTCGGTAATGCAGTATACCACACTAATTTTACCACAGTATGCAACAAGTAATGTTATCATGGACACTATAATATACCATCGCTGCAGTTCAGTCAAACATGCTTCAGTTTCTCAAAAGGTTTTTGTAGAGACGAGGACTAGTTCTGTTTTCTCAAGCTACTGATATGTTGTCGCACTTTGTGGTACACTCCCTCTTCTGAGGAACTTGTACAGAATCACAACAACCAGCACAGCAGAAGGAGGAGCAGACTGAGGTCTGTTAATTCTTCAGAATGGCCTTAACCATCTTGGAGAAGGAAAATAATGTTAAGTCCCACAAATACATGTATGTTTGCAGTCAAAAACTTTGTCTGTATAAAGTAGAAGACATTAAACATACCAAACTTCACCTTACTTGAGCGCCTGGGGCCGTATTACAGAAGGTCTCAAAGTCTAATGGGGATCCTAAAAATAAACAAAAAAAAAAAAAGAGTTGAAGTGATGCCTTCTTTGCCTGTGAAGGGCATTAGTTTCATTTTGGGAATTGATTTAGCAGGAGATCAGGTCTGTGTGACACCAGTGGTGAGCAATATTTGAAAGGGGCACAGAAGCATATGAAAGGCTATTATGATAAAAAGGCAGTGGAAAGAGCCTTTGCAATTGGGGACAAGGTTTTAATGTTAACCCCTAAGCGAAGTGACAGTTTTAGTGCTGCTTTTAGTGGGTTATATACCATCATAAAGAAACAGAGTGATCGTAATTACATGGTTAGCACTCTTGATGGAAGGAGAAAATCTAAGGTATGTCACATTCTGCTTTAAACCTATCATGGCCATGCAACAGAGGTACTGGTTACGTCTGCATCTCCAGTGTGTAGTGAAGCTGAGTCAGAGGAGATGGTGATGGTGGAACTGGTGGTTTCAAAGCCCGGTCATTCACTGCAGTTGTGCATAGATTATCGAAAGGTGAATCAAGTGACCAAGACAGATGCTTTTCCTATTCTTTGGTTAGAGGATTGTATAGATCGTATTGGTAGAGCTCAGTATGTGTCAAAACTTGATCTGCTAAAAGGCTACTGGCAGTTTCCACTCTCAGATAGGACAAGAGAAATCTCTGCTTTTGTGACTCCTGATTCTTTAGATGTCTGCAAGGTTTTTCCTTTTGGGATGAAGAATGTACCAGCGACCTTTCAACGGTTAATGAATGAAGTCACAGCTTGCCTTAGTTATGTGGCTATTTACAACTCCATTTCCAAAAAAGTTGTGACACTGTGCAAAATGTAAATAAAAACAAATGCAGTGATTTGAAAATAATTTATACCCTATATTTCATTAAAAATAGTACAAAGACAACAAATGCTGAAACTGAGAAATTTTATCGTTTTTTGAAAAATATATTCCTATTTTGAATTTGATGCCAACAGCATGTTCCAAAAAAGTTGGGACGGGGGGAATAAAAGGCTGGTAAAATTGTGTAATGCTAAAACAAACGCCTGGTGTTTAATTGGCAACAGGTCAGTAATATGACTGAGTATAAAAAGAGCATCCCAGAGAGGCTGAGTCTTTGAGAAGTAAAGATGAGGAGGGGTTCACCACTCTGTGAAAGACTGCGCAAGCAAATAGTGCAACAATTCAAGAATAATGTTTCTCAATGTAAAATAGCAAAGAACTTTTATTTTTCATCATTTACGGCACATAATATCATTAAAAGATTCAGAGAATCTGAAGAAATCTCTGTGTTCAAGGGACAAGGCCAAAAGCAGTATTTGCTGGCCATGATCTTTGGGCCCTCAGGCGGCACTGCATTAAAAACAGACATGAATCTGTAGAGGAAATCACTGCATGGGCTCAGAAACACTCAGAAACCACTGTCTGTGAAAACAGTTTGTCGCTGCATCCATAAATGCAAGTTAAAGCTCTTAAAATGCAAAGAAGAAACCATATATAAACAGGATCCAGAAATGATGACACCTTCTCTGAGTCTGAGCTCTTTTAAAATGGACTGAGGTGAAGTGGAAAAGTGTCCTGTGGTCCGACGAATCAACATTTGAAATTTTTTTTTTGGAAATCATGGACACTGTGTCCTCTAGGATAAAGACCACTCAGCTTGTTATCAGCATACATTATGAAATGAAAAATATAGGGGTCCGGTTTTGACACCAGCAAAGATGGCGGCATAAAG